ACTGCTGAAAAGCTTTTGTTCGGATTGATCTGTTATTTTGTGCTGCCTTTGCATTTTCGTTCTGTCAAACATATTGACCCAGACATGTCTAGCCTGATGTTGTTGACATGCCTGTGCTATTAAGGTTTCTGGAAAGGCCTGAAATAAACTGCCAAACTATTATTTCTTTTTTCCTTTTTTCCTTTCTTTGTCTCTTGCTAAATGTATTAACAATGTCAGCATTGAAAAAAAAATTAAAGATATCAGAGCAGGAATAAGCAGCTGTTTACGTCTTGAAATGTTTTTGCTTCTCTATCACAAGATGACCTTGTTGCTTAAAAATCATAAAAATGTTGCCAGGGAGAAGAAATGGAAGTTTGCTGAAGGGAAATGAAGTTTTGGTGGTGTTTTTTGTTTAAGTCTGAACAGAGTTGCAAGCAGAGTTGAGCCCTGCAGCTGGTCCTGAACTCAAATGTTTCCTTCAGTCCCACTGCTATAGATGCAAAACAAATGCCATATGAAATATTATTCCTGCTTCACATTAAAACTCTTGAAAGTCGTTTTTCACTGGAACTGGGAGAAGTTCTGCAAAAATAATCCATGTTTTGTGTTACAGTGTATGTGTTACACTGGATTGACACCTCTCTTCTAGATTATTTTTCCACATCTGAAAGACAAAACAGGGACCTTAACAAGTAGAAATGAATGTAGCTGGAAAGAATGAATAAAACCTCCCCCCTTCTTTTTTTAATCCTCTAGTGACTGGGATAATTTACACTTTTCCCTCTCCAAAACATATATATGAATAACATGAACTTCTGTTTATGAGATGATGGAAGATTAAAGGCTGCCAAGTACCTTGGAATGATTTTTTAGAAGGGTTTGGAGTATCGTCTTTTCCTGAACACACAGGGAATATGTGTTGCCATCAGTGTTTCAGGTTGGGGTGAAAATGCAGATCTTGGGTTATACTTCGATTTGTGGTCTCTTGATTGCTCTTGGTGAGCTGTCTGGACACTCTTGATTCAAGCAAAGTGTCCACAAATCCCAGCAGCAATTATGGAGGTGGCCTGAGACAAGCAGGGTCTTTACTCGGGTGCCTACCTTGCACTTCAGGGAGCAACAAGGAGAGGAATGGTGGCAGGTGGAAATAAAGACTGCAAAATAAAACACACACATTAAAAAAAAAAAAGGATAGCTATGAATTTCTTGTCAGATTTCATGATAGATGGCAACAAGGGAACTGAAACCGACCGCTTGAGCGGCTACTTCAATTCTTCCATGTCTCCAGAACATTTCCCATTAAAATGCTGGATAAACTAATAAAATGAAAGCCGTTTCTTTAATAGGCATAAAGTTGTCTATCTGGTCCCCTGAATTCCCAGATTCCTCCCACAGTTCTCTTGTTTGCTTGGCATCACAGCATATGGAAAGTGAGAAAATATCCCAAAAGGCCAGGGATTGCTTAGGAAAGTTGCAGCATGAGGGCAATGCAGGGGAAAGAAAAGTAGTTTTCTTTGAAGGAGCTGATGAATCAGTCTAGAAATAAGAGTTGCTTGTGTAAAGGCAGTCATCAGAGGTGTAGATGAGTGTAAAAAAAAAAAAGAAGTGACTATAGTTTTCTGTAGTACAGTTATTTTAGAGCCATCAATGCAAACTGTTCCTGCCCTGTTGGAGGAGGATCCAACGTGGTGGAGAGCTGCAGTTTCTGGGGTATAGCTAAGACACCTGGATGGTGTTTCTGTGATTGCCCAGCAGAGGAGATGGATTTCTACTCAAGCTGGTGTAGTGCTGGTTCTTGCTGCAAATTGTAGCTCCAGTAGTCAGTAAAGATCTTCCTTCAAGAAGGGAGTTAAGAATTAAAAGGAAAAAAAAAAAGGGGTGAGGGGTGGGGGACGAGACAGGAATGGCAGATGGGACATGACCGAAAACAAAACTAAAACTAAAAAAAAAAAAGAACAAGGGATCCTTGTTGCATTGACTTGAAAGGTCAATAACCAGCACTGAGCCTCACAGCTTCCAGGAGTTTGGAGTGAGTATTACCAAGACCCAAGTGTCATGAAATCCCAATATTCTGTGTGTAATCCTGTGATTTTAAAAAGAAGAACTCGTGGTCTGGTTTGCTGGGAATGGAGTAAGCATGAATATGTTACAGTTTTATTAGCCTTCATTTCCAAGACTACAGATTCATCTTCTTGTACACATCTCCTTTTCTATGTCATGTCTTGCATGTCACTTGCTGTCACCTGGGCCTTTAATCTGTCTGGAAAGAAATATGACAAAACTGAAGGAACCGAGAAGCTCTTGTGAAAGTGCTAAATTATATGAGCAAAAGCAGAGAAACCAGGGCTTTAATGATGAGTAGTTTTTACCTCTTTGTCCCCTTAAAATTTCTGTAGCCTGATGTCTGACAGTAATAGTTGGTTGAACAGGTATTAGCTTTTTTCTTAAGGGTTTTAGTCTAAATTGTCCTCATCCCTTAAGAATGAGAAACCTGCATGGTTTCACCCTGGGGTGATAAGAGAAAACTTGAAATACCCAGTGCCAGACACAGTTTTACTTCCCATATGAAATGAGTGTGAAAAAGAGAGCAGGTGGAGTTCTCCTGGTTTTGATTTTTTTTTTTTCCTGTATTAGCTCTTTTTCTGTTAATTTTGTGAGGTACTGGCAGAACAGAGTATTTGAGATTTTATTTAGGAGTTTTTCATTTGGTTTTCTGTGTTTCTTCCCCAAGGTGCCACTGACAATTTCATCTCACCTTCTTTTCAAGTTTCTTTGCTTGGTAGGCTTTGCCATCCCCCATTCTAGGATTATGTAAGGGAGCTTCAGAATATTCTAGAGTTGGGGGGGAAAGCCTATAGCAGTACCCTGCGTTCCCTACTCTACCCTTTGTATCCTTATGGTTTTAGTCTCTCTGGTGATATTGCAGAAGGTAGCATGTATTTGGGGAGGTTAAAACTGATGTTCACAGCCTTCAACTTCCAAGCCAAGTTTTGAAACTCTGGTTATGAATCTAGAGCTTTCTAGGTTGCACATTTTCACTTCTGTTTTTTCTATCCAAGTTCTTGCATTAAAAAAAAATGGATGCAAGGAAATGGTTGACTATTCAAAGCAAATACTTCCTTGCAGACAGAAAGAAAACATGCACAGATGAACCCTAGATGTGTTTGTTTCCCTCCAACTTCCAGTCCCTCATAACTGTGCTTTCTTACTTGTGATTTTGAAAGGTATCTTTGATCCATTACTATTATTCTATGTAACGTGGCCAGGGCTGTCTCTTCAGCCAGAAAGGCTATTGATTAGGCCACTGCAATTGCTTTTTGAAAGGCACATTGAGCCCAGTAAAGGATTTCTGTTGAAAGTGAAATTTTGGATGATGTTCAAAGTCTCTCCTGGAAGACTGCCCACTTGCACAGTCCAAGCTACCTGTGATGTCCCAGCCAAGCCTTTTGTCTGTGAGTAGCAAAGGCGAGGACAACAAAGTTACTTTTTTTGTTAAGAAAATTATTTTTCTGTGCGTATGATAACAGTAGCCACTTGCTGTGATAAGTGCTGTCTTTCAACTAGAAAACACGAGAATGTCCCAGCCCTCTGGATTATCTGCTATCCAGCAAAACAGCCTGATGAGCAAGTGTATCAGCTCTTATTAATCTTTCCATAAAATTAAAGAAATTATGGAGCTTAAGGCAGTCACTAATGAATCAATTTTAATTTATGGGCTCAAATAAAATCCGCATTAAGGCTGACAAACTGTAGCCTCAGGTAAACATGAAGCATTTCCACTGCAACTCTAAATGAATTCTGTGCTGGATGTCACAGCTTCTGCTAGAAGAGCAGAAGGGTCAGGGGTCCCATATCACGTCAGAGGAGGCAAAATCTTAAAGGAAGTAAAGGCACTGGTCTAGCCCTTGGGAAGTCTCTCTCTGGCACGCAAAAGCATAAAAATCAAAGACTAATTATATTTTTCTCTTTTCTTTAAATGAACAAAGAAGCAGAGGATTTTTGTCTATAGAATCACTGTTTGCTAAATGCTTTTGCCTACCCAAATTACACTAAAATTGTACATGGAGGTGCTTGTACCACAAAAGCAGAGGCAAATGTGGGTTTCTACACATGCACAAATCAGTCACCCATGGACATGTATATATGCCTCAGTAAAAGCATCTTGCAGGATCCAACCTCTGTATTTGTGCTCTTAACCTGAAAGATGCTCACTGCAGCAGCCAAGGTCACCTCCTTCTGTGTCTTCTTCATGGAGATCAATGCTTGCTTTTTGGAGAAAGTACGTCATCTCAGGAGATGCAGCCATGCTGGGCAGAATGATTGAATAAAACTTAACCATTTGTAGCTAATGCAAGTATGTTGTCTTGTGAATGGTCAGACTGGGAGGTTTCCTTAGCAGGCTGTGTACGAAAAACATTATTTTGGATTTTAGACAGCTTTTATTTGGTGATTTTTTTTTCCCAGTCAAGTGTTGCTGTTTCTAGTCTTTGCTTTGCATTAAACAGTATTATACAAGATAACTGTTTTTGTAGGAACGCTTTATAAACATGTTGTAAAACATATTGTTATGTCTGCTGTAAAATATACAATGATTATTTTTTGCCACCGTTGTTGTTGGTTTAGTCTTTGCATTTTGTTTGGTGCAGATGCTGGTATTCAAGGTTAATTGAGGTCACTGTAATGGAGTTTGGGATTCAAGAATTAGAGGATTATGTACCTGTAGACATATTTTTGACTCATCCTCTCAGTTTGGTTTTAAAGAAATAGCTCCTGGTGCTGTAAGAACTGCTTGGAGGGGAAGGGTTGTACCACCATGCCTCTTCTCTTTTGGCAATAAGCTGATGAAGACATTGGTATTTGCCACCAGCCTTTCCATGCTCACTGATGAGCTTCCCCAGCTGATGCTGAAGTCCTGGCTTCTGCATCTTCACCCTTGTTAACACTGGAGGGGCCACTCAGCTTCTTGATCTGTCCCTCTGTCCGTCTGTTTTCTGACTCTCATTTTTGTTGCTTTTCAGGTGCAGTAATCGGACCCAGTGTGCAGTTGTTGCTGGCCCTGATGTGTTTCCAGACCCATGCCCTGGGACATACAAGTACCTGGAAGTGCAGTATGAATGTGTACCTTACAGTATGTATCTTGATATATTTGCATTTGTTTCTTTAATAGAGATTTATTATGGAGACTGGGCCAGCCTTGAGCTTGTCTCTTGTTGCCCAAGGGCAAGTAAACCAAACCTCGTGCATCAAGTAAGACTGAGCTGATAAGATACGAAAAATTGTTCTCTGTGCAAGGTTTGTGCTTAGATTAAAAATATTCTAATAATGCCCCATATTTTCTGTGCTGTGCGGTTTAACAGTAACAGATCATCTTTTGGAAAACACTTGGGAAACCCCATTAGAGAAAGCAGACCAGAGGACTACTGCTAGCTTCCAGCTGCTCTTCACAGAGGTTTATGATTGTGATCACACAGCAGTGCGCTTCAGCTTACCTATGTCCATGTAATTGGTGACATTTGATAAGTGCCTTACATACGGTATTGTATCACCAGGGAGGTAGAAAGCTAACGTTTTGGGAAATTTGATGTTTGACGGTAGAATATACTAATTTATAAGCTTCCATGGTTATGAAGGCAAATTACAGGCAATCCGTTTTTGAGGCAGTCATCTGAGATTACAGCAGTGTGTGCCAAACGGGAAATTCAGAGGTACAAAAAGTTAAGTGTACGTCAGAATTTGCTTTCTGTAGAAACCGAATTTGTTAGACGCAGTTACAGTCCTACTGTCAAAAAGGTCTTACCTCAGAAAAGAAATAACGACAATACTAGGAGTGCACTTTTTGTTAGCAGTTGTAAAGAGCTGAGCAGTGAATAACAGCACCATTTCTAGGTTTTCTGTTTGAGCGGGCCAGAGCTTATAGCACACCTCTCAAAATAAAAAAGCAGGTATGGAAATGGACGCTTTTGACCCACAGTGTTGTACTGAGAAAGCAGCAGGAAATTTCAGTTTGCTGAAGCCCAGGATTTGGCTCGAGGACTAAGACCATCTTCTTTGCTGCCTCAGGCATGGGCTGCAGGAAAGCAAACGTGTCTGAGCAGTGACAGGCACACTGTCTAGAGGGAAAGCAGGATCTCTCAGCCCTTCGGGTGGTCCCCATCCCTTATGCAGGAGGTGGCCACCTGCCTACTTCTGCCATCTGGGAAGGCTGCATAGTGTTTGACTTCTGAGAAACTGCAAGGTGAGGGATGCAGCTTAGGCCACCTCTCTGAGCAAAGGGGACCTCTTGGCTGAGGAACTTGGATTCTCTGCTGACGGGAGGCTCAGCATGTCCATGTTTGTTTTTTTCTAAACAAAAATGTGAGGCTTCTAATTTCAATGATGGAATACTTTTTATGGAGTGAGCTATTAAACCATGGAAAGAGTGACATCAGGGGCTTATGGTCTGCCCTAGTGAGCAGAATATTCTCCAAATTACAGTTTGGAGTTATTCCACTCTAAATGAGGTCTTTCATTTTAGAATTGACACTGTTCATGGAGAGGGTGAGGGGAGATTGCTTTCAGTTTATCATAGCATGTTGTATTTCCTTGTGATTTGTGATTTGCATGAGATATGCCATTCCTTCTGGAGACTAGGCTGGTAAAGCAATAGTCGTTACCTAGTACCCCTCTGTAGCCTTTGTTGCATATAAAACAAAGAGGAATTTTGAAATGCCTTGTGAGAAAGGTGATATGTCAGTATTATGCCCCAAGGCGTTAATCAACCCTGTGTACAAGATGTAAAATAACTCAGTACTGAGGTTGCTCAGTACCAAATGTACAGTAGGGATTGTGTATTTTTTAATGATCTGAATGTGGGTAGGAAAATGTCAACAACTGCCACAGTGTCTTTGCAATTAAATTAATAGCTTTGATGGCTGTATCCTCCATTTCTTTATGAATCAAATATAATGCCTCTGCAAGTAGAGTTATGGAGGGGGAAGACAAGGGGTGAGCACATGGTGAAATAGGATCCAATCTCCTGAGCTTGTTGTTCTGCACTACCTAGGAAATTTTGGATCAAATTTTCATGTGTTGTAATTCAGTGTAGCACCAGAGAAGTTGGCTGCGTTGAGGCAAACTGTCCCCGTTTGTCTGCAGATATAGAGTCAAAAACCTAGGGCTCTTCTCCTACCTGAAGTGGTGGGTTTGTTACTGCCTCCATTTCTTCTCTCAGAATGATCAGTTTAATTTTGTAGATGTTCCCTGCCTCAGCCCCACGAGTGCCCCACAAATGAAAGCTGTCCAAGTGATGGGGAAGGTATCAGCTCTGGGCAAGTAGATCAGAAAAGGTATGGTTGGACCAAAGCTACGCCTGGTGGATGAAATCTGTTTCTTCCTTGATGCCCTGAGTGATGCCTCTACTGTTTGAAGAGGTCAGTTCTTATCACTGAACCCAGGTGCTTCAGCTCCTCTAGCCATATTTGGGCTGTTGTCCAAATCCTTTCAGGTCCAGCTTCCTTAGCTTCACTCCCCACACCCATGCACCTTGGAGGAAGGGAGTGGACTCTATGGGTTCTCTAGCGCTGGGGAAAACTTTTCCTCAGCCACTGACATTTCCCTGGTGGTTCAGTGCACCGAGCCCTTGGTGAATGGTGGTGTCTGCCATATGACCATCTCCTAAAAGAACACATCAGTTGCATAATAAAGGAACTAATAATTTAATCAGGCACTTGTGTGCAATTCCAGCCTACCTCTGTCTGGTTGGACGGGTTACTCCTTACAGTTTCAAATTATTCTTTGTGGACAGAGAGAGGGTTTACCTAAGTGCTGGCTCAGCAGCAGAAGGGACTATGTGTGCATCTCAAGAGAACAGAGTTTAGGAATCATCTTTAAGAGATGTTGTTAGGACTGACCTTGGGCACTTATGCTCAATATAGTGCTAGTGTATACGCTGCCTCAGAGAAAAATTACTTAAGATTTAAAACTCCATTGGGTAGCCTGCTTCTCTTGAGATTTTATTTATTAACTCTTCCACCACTAGCTCATATCATTTTCAAGAAGAAAGCATCCCCTTTCCTCTCACATGGGGGAGAACCAAACCTCCTCAAACTTCAGTAGCTCATATATTATGAGATGTTCTTTATATCACCCCATACACCACATTCCTGTGTGTTTACTAGAGATACCTCTTGCAAAGAGAGTTTCATGATGCTGCAGTTACTTTCAACACATGGAGAAGGGGACAGATGTTTATGCAGATAGCCCAGTCCTTGCCTTATTTTCCTGATCCTGTAGTCGCTTTATGTGGTAGAAGCTGCCTTCTACAAAAATGGACAGTCATTCAAAAAATGTCTGGACTTCTTTGGTTGCCCTCTGACAGGGAAAAGCAAGTGAAAAGCTGATGATTTCAGTAGGTAAAAGATACCAGCCCTAATTTGACAGGCTTCAGTGGCATCAGGTGTCCTGTATTGTTGGTATCAGAAGTCATAAAATTAATTTTGTCTTTATCAAAGCAGACCTTAGCTTACAGTGTGTATTTCTCTGACACCTGCTTTAAATATTGCCCTTTTTCTTCTGAAATTACTACTCTAATTTTCTTAAATTGGATTTTCTTTTAGTAATTACCAACCAAGAGAGTTTTTTGATGTTTTTTTAATTTAATATGTACTACTGCAGACCTGCAGTCTGCCATTGCCAGAGCTGTGGACACATCTTATTGTGGAGAGATGTCTCAAGCTGCATTTAAGCTGTGTTATGCTGTGTGTGATTATGAGAAACCTGACATGGTGAGGGTCCCTTCGATCCAGTACTCTGTTGTTTCCTAGTGCATCCCTTCCCTCTCCCCTTCTCCGTTTACCGAGCAGAGTTAAATGGGTAATTGGAACAGCAGTGGTGGAGGTGGTTTTGTGAAGCTAGGTCAACACTCATTGCAGAAACACTTCACTGTCATCTTCTGGTGCTTGTACAATCCTGTTGTCATGGTGCCAGTACATCTAGGAGTGTAATTTTTCTTATTTCACCTTTGTAATGTGCTAAGGGCCTTCCAATTTTACTTAGGAGCCAGCACAGAAAGCAGATGAGTGATTTATCCAAAGCTCTATGTGAGGCTGGTGACAAGCAAGAGAGTCCAGTTTTGCGGGACCAGTGGTGGTGGGAAGAGGGCTGGGCTAGCTGTCATTGTGAGCAGCCAGATTTTCAATTGGTAATCTGATAAACCAGAACGGACGTGTTGGTTTTCCCACTGCAAGTACCACCTTTGTGAGTATGTAACACTTCACAGCTCAAACCATCCGTGTTTTAGTAGTTCTGCATGTATCTCTGAGAAGGATGAATGAACTTGCATGACTTCAGCATGACGAGCCTCCTTCCCTTCACTTTCTGGAGCACACATGGTCCATGGGCCACGGCACTGGCACTGCCCTTCGTGGATGCCCAATGGCTTTGACTGAAATTTAGGGATTGTCTGCATTTAGTTTTTATTCAGGTTTTGAAAATGGCACGAGTTGAAAGCACCAGAGGTATTTTGCAGTGTTTTTTCTGTTCATTTTCCCCTAGAGACAACTGTACAGGCTTCCAGGGAACCCAGCATAGTGTGGAAAAGAGGGTTTAGCTAGATGAGTATGATTTACCTTCAGTTTTTCCTGAGCTCCCAATTCCCTTAAGTTCTAGATTTTGGAGTTCACAGAATAACTTGTACACTGATATCCTTCAGAAACAGTCTTTTTAAATAGGGAATTGGAAAATTTAAGCTATAGGGTAGGGCAAAGTGGAAAAAAGGCGTAGACTCAATGAGGACAAGCCTATTGCTGCGTTGATAGAAAACATGGCATCTGCAAGAGGGAGTGAGACAGGTGCCTTGGGCATGGCGTACTTCACTGTGATGACAACTTGCCTCACACCCAGGCAAGAAGTCTTCCATCAGTTTTTAATAGTGAGAAGATCTGTTCAAAGAGCTGATTCCTGCAAGGGAAAAATGGTCATGGCTTCCAAGGAAGGATGAATCGTCCTTCCTTTCCATTCTGGCTAAACAGGCTAATAAATGTTTTGAAGGCACCAAATATCTTTGGTGCTTACAGAAAATTTCCTGCTTCTGTAACACTAACAAGAGGAAGGAAAAAATGCTTGAGTTCATCACTTCTTTTCTTAGGACTT